AGGTGGCGACAGTAATTTTGACTATTTTGTTGTTTTTTTACTGTGCCATTGTGTGACTGGGGTTCACAGAACGAGGGATCACTGAGTAGTTTACAACTACTGTAGTTTCCACAAGTCACCATAGATAGAAAGGGAAAAAAACTACAACAGTTAAAATAAAATGTCTGTGTGGACATTTGAAGCTGAAAAATTAAACAGTTCTACTAAATTGAAAATTGAGGAAAAACTGATTTTCATGAATTATTTTATTTGACAGAAAAAAAAAAAAACAGAGATAAATACGCATCCCAGGAAAATTTGATTTAAGAATTAATTATTTTATAAAAACAGGAATTGCTGCAGAACAGCTTAAAAGATGCCTGGGTTTAGTGTTTATCCTTTGTTGGTGTAGATGAGGCAGACCTTCTTCTTTTCTCCAATCCTGGAATGCCTTGCTGTGTCAGGGATCTCTGAAAAGACTCCTTTTGTTTGCTTCGTTTAAATTACTTTTCAGTGTCAATTTTGCGTCAATCAAACAGACTGGTAATCTTGGTAATCTTAGTTTCAGCTTCATAGTAAACGGGTCACCCCATAGTTGATTAGCTCTTGTGCCAACGAAAAGCACACAGAATGTTTATCATAGTCCCTTGTGGAAAGATTGACAGACTTCTGTCTCAACATATGCACTACTAGCATACACATGCATTAAAATCATACGGTAGCCATCCGATGTGCTGACACAAACAGTCCAACATTAGAAATGCATTTTGTCATCCATGGTAGCAGAAGTCACCAACAGCAGTTGCACACGGGATCAATTTTAATCACATACTGGAAACACCAATATTGTGAAAACAGGTATGCGCCATTTTCTGAATCTACAATTCACACTACCACGTGGGTCACAGTAAAAAAACATTTCAAACGAAATCCGCAGCTCACAGTGTCAAGCCATGCACTCAACTCAGAAGCTGGGCAATGAAACTTTATCCTTTTAGTCTACAAATGGAGCAAAAATGCAACGGCCACCATCTGGCAGAAGCAAAAAATTTGCTATGACTCAGAACAGTGGCCACACCTAGGGTCTATTTTGACAGGAAGGGAGGCAGGAATATGTGGTAAAAAACTAATTTACTGTCTGTTTCATGCTTCCTTAATATGAATAGGCTTCTACAATAGATCCAATTTTATTACAATATCATTCAAAATGAGGCTTGACTAGTCATTTACGTACAAAATAATAAAAAAAACAGCATTTTTTTTTTACCTGAGTGGCACATATGACAGGTTTACCTGCCCTGTTACAGCAACCAATCATCATCTTCTGTGCTAGAAATACCTTCTCAGGAGGTATTTCGATACCCATATCTCCTCTAGCCACCATCACTCCATCTGTTTCTTCCAATATTTCCATGAAGCTGAACAAAATTGTGAAAAAGAAAATATTTTAAAGACAAATTTTTCCTAAACAAAATAAATAAAAGGAAACAGACATGACACATTATGCAGTAAAATGCATAATCTAATAATAGTTAGCTGATATTGGTTATAAATGTAAAGTTCAATGCCCAAATTTTAAAAGTCTTCTAAAGGAACAGATTTATCTATTAGAATGAGGCTAATCTAGACATTTTTTCTCAACCCAGAACCAAGAAACATCTCCACAAAGAAACTACAGCAGAGCCATCCTAGTTTCCATGCTAACAGTGTGTAAGAAAAGTATTAGAACTTCAAATCTGTGGACAGGCATATTAAGATGTAAACAGGTATAGATTCAGTTCAGCATAAAATGGACAGATGGGTTGACTATTTTGAAATGCTTCTAAATTGACCAGATCCAGAGTTTCCCAAGATATCCAGCCTTTGGAAATTGAACTGGATTTCAACTGTGAGATACCATCTAAACAGATCCTGCACTGACCAGATAGCCACATTACGTATTATAATAGAGCTAAACACTGAACTGAACTCACCACTTTACATTAGATTTATAGATTATGAAAAAGCATTTGACAGCATTGATAGGGAATCTCTCTGGAAATTGATGGGATACTATGGAATCCCACAGAAAATTATTAACTTAGTAAAGGCAACATAAAAAGACATGAAATGTCAAGTTCTTCATGAGGGAAAGCTAACAGATACATTTGAAATAAGAACAGACGTGTGACAGGGATGTCTTTTGTCGCGTCTCTTATTTTTACTGGCTATAGACTGGATTATGAAAACAGTAACTGCTAACAACAAGAATGGAATTCAGTGGACCCCTACAAAACAGCTTGATGAAATGGACCGATATTTTTCTTCTGTCCCATTCATGGAATCAGATGCAAGATAAATTAAATATACTTGATGTGAGATCAAGTATTGGGACAGCTAGCCCCCCTCTAAGACAATCCCAATTAGCACAAAGAGATATCTTATTCAAAGCATATTTATTCCAACTCTGTGCTACCAGTGCCAGACATGGTCACTCACAATAAACCCTAAAAGAAAATTAGTAACCATGGAAATGAGATGTCTGAGAAGGGCTGTAGGAGTGACCATAAGGGATAAGATCAGGAATGAAAACATAAGAGAAAAAGTCTGCACAGAACCAATTCTAGATTACATACAAAGACAGCAAGTGAAATGGTTTGCCCACCTAGAGAGAATGCCTTGTGACACCATACCATACAAAGCATACATGGAAAGAGAAGAAGGATGTAGAGCACGAGGTAGACCAAGAACAAGATGGAAGGATAACATCAGAGAAACTCTACAACAGCACGATGTGCCTATGGTCGAGGCGGCCAGAAGAGCTAGAAACAGAACCTTATATCTCCCTCGACACCCACAGCGGTAAAAGAGGAAGTGAAGAAGAAGAAGAAGATGTGAGATCACAGCAGCTTGGTCCGAAAATCCATAAAGGAAAGACAAAGATAATGAGAATAAATCAGGCAAATATAATGTGGTTTCTCTTAATGGCACCCCACTCCAAGACGTGGAGTAGTACATCTATTTGGGCAGTAATGTAGATAAAGATGGAAGAACTGATAGAGATACTTAAATAAGAATACAAAAGGTAAGAGGAGCTTTAATAGCACTAGGGAATTTGTGGAGGTAAAAAAATAATTAAAAGAAATACTAAACTAAAAAATTTTAATTCTAATGTCAAATCAGTACTTTTGTATGGGGCAGAAACATGGAGAACAACTAAGTCAATTACTAATAAATTACAGACATAAATTAACTGGTGCCTGCGCAGAATAGAGGGAATTAAATTGTATGATAGAATAATTAATGTAGAGTTTTGGGAGAGAACTAAACAGGCTCCAGTGGACCAAGAGGTGAGGAAAAGACGCTTGCGTTGGATAGGACATACACAGAGAAAACAGGAGAACAGCATAACTAGAATGTCTTTGCATTATAACCCACAGGGGCACAGGAATAAAGGAAGACACACAAAAAAAAAAACACATGGAGAAGAGAGCTGGAGAATGAAGTTAGAAAGGTAGGGAGGACATGGGGAGAGCTCCATGTAATGGCAAAGGCTAGAACGACTTGGCATGAGTTGGTTGAGGACCTATGCTCCATTGAGGGATAGAAAGGTAGAAGAGAGAAGAGAGATACTGGTTTTCCTTAAGCATTTTAAATTTATAAACAGGAAATATTTTTAAAAAAGTAGAATTCTCTGGACTGAAGATTACTGGTAGAATAATAAACAATCTGCGATATGCTGATGACTGAATGTTACTGCCAGAAAGTGAGCAGGAGTTACAGGATAGGTGCTGCTCATGTTTCCAGGCCCAGGATTAGAGTAACTTCCCTTGCCATTCATGGCTCATCAAGTCGCAGGACCTCTCCTATGTTGTAGGGGTGTCATGTTTTCCTTATTGTCAAAGCTGAAACAGTTTCCTTTTTTCTCGTCTTCTCAATGCTCACTTCCAGGATTATTATCATGTTCTGCTATCTGCGCGCGTTTGGGACTATGGGGGTAAGCCACTGCCAACGAATGTAGAAATACAAAAACATCCCAGATTCGATACTCAAGAATTGTCGTGCCTATGGCGCTTTCCCTGCAGTACTTCTTACTCGTACATAGGTGCCTGAAATAGACTCACAACAACACAACCTCAAACAAACATAGTAGAGGTCCTGTGACCCGATGAGCCATGAATGGCAAGGTAAGTCACTCTTTTTCTGGGCCGGACTTAATAAAATCAACCACTAAAATAAAAAAAGAGACAAATGAAACATTCTGATCGCATTTAAAAGACATAACACTCTTTTAAAAACCCTACTTGAGGAAAAGGTCAAAAGCTAGATGGTAAGAGGTAGATAAGAACACAAGCGGAGATTTCAACGCCAGAGGAAACCAGTGGGGCAATGTAATCACCAATAAACAGGGGGAAGACCTGGAGGATGCCCTAGTGTCTGCCGATCTAGTATGCTTGAACGACGGAAAGGTTACCCGAATGGCAACCCGACAAGGGGATTCTGACAGCGTAATTGACCTGGCCCTAGTGTCTCCCTCCATTGCATCAGGATGCAGGTGGAGCACACTGGGATCACTTTCCTTGCGTCGTCCTGGTGGAGAAGAGCAACAACAAAGGTCATGTAATCAATGTGCCTGCTTTTCTATATGACCGTACAGGGCAAGATGCCATTAGCAAAATCAGACGACGTAAAACAAGAGCAGATCGCAGACGGCGGGAGAGATGGGCCCAGCCACCATGGTGGAATGAAGTAGTCAACATGGCGTGGCTAGAAAAAAGGAACGCTGTCAAGGCATGGCAAAAGGCAAGGAAAATTGATCCGTCACTTTCTGAACGCCTGATCAGTCTAAAAGATGAGGTTAACAAGCGGACAGTGGCTTTCAAGTTAATTGCCAAAGAAGCCAAGACAGCGAAATGGAACGAATTCTGCAAGAGCGTTTGCTCCGAGGGATCTCTTGTGACATTCTGGCGCCTTCAACGGAGCATGCACGGCGCCGCACGACCAAGGGGCATCCCTGATTTTCAGGGTACAGACCTGATATGGCAGAGAACTGATGCTGATAAAGGAAAAACCCTTCTTGCGCGCTACTTGGAGCAAACTGACCAAAAAGACGAAGCTGCAAGAATAGGGGTTAAGATGAAACTGTCGATGCTGTGCGAGAACACTGAGCTAGGCACTGATTTCACAATCACTGCAGACACCTTAAGAACTTGCCTCAAGAAATCGCGCAGCACTGCTCCAGGCCCTGACGGCCTCCGATACAATGACATGCTGATGATGTCGATTGCTGATTTGAAAAGCGTGGCAAAGAAATTCAATATCAGCATCCAGAGTGGCCAGATACAAGAGGAATGGCTCCATAGTTATTTGTTCCCACTACCAAAGCCTAATAAAGACCACTCAAAGATCTGCGGCTACAGAATCATCTCGATGCAGAATACTGTTGGCAAACTTTTGGAAAAAATTGTCGCACAAAGATTGACCACCTACTTGGAACTACATGATAAGTTCCCATCAACACTTGGAGGGTACAGGTTGAAGAAAGAGACATGGTTCAATGCTGCTGTTTTCGCCTACGATGTGTACGAGGGATTTCAGATTAAAGAAGAGACATGTGCGGCAGTGTTGGACTTAGAAGATGCCTACAATAAAGTACCATACGAATATTTAATGCAATTACTGCTTAAACTAGAAGTCAATCCTATTCTGATCCGCTGGACTGCTGCGGTCCTGTTCCAGAGAAAGATTGTACTAAGATGTGGTAGCTGGTCCTCAGAACCGCAAACGATATGTCCAGGCTTGCCACAGGGATCACCGCTATCACCAGTCTTATTCAACGTTTATACGGTGATGATCACTGAGCAGCAGTTGAATGGAAAGGGAAGTACTTTGTCATTTGCTGATGACATTTTGATTTATCGACGAGGGCGTGATAGACAGGAGATCGCCAGCACAATGCACAAAGAACTCGATCGAATTGCCGCCTGGTGTGATGGTTCCAATGCCTATGTCAATCCTTCGAAGGCATCAGTGTCATGGTTCTCTTTGAACAATCACATTGTCAAGTCGGACTTACCAGAAGTGAAAATGCGTGATAATATATTGATCAGAACCAACGTTATGACGTTTCTCGGGGTGAGGTTCGATCGCAGCTTGTCATTCAGGGAACACGTTGACCATGTGATAACAAAAGCACGCAAAGGTCTATCTGCAATGAGGATTATGGCTGCTTCCAATTTCGAGCAAAGACTACTAATACTTCTATTCTACGGTCTGGTCCTTTCACCCATTGAATACGCTCTGGCCATCCTCACTGTCAGTGCTACCCAGATTGAAAGACTCGAAAAGGTGCAAAATGAAGCCATGCGCATTATTTTGGGATGTACAAGAGACACATCCTGTGAAGCAATGAGGTATCTACTTGACTTTCCAACAATGAACCAAAGGATCAGAATGTGGAGGGCTCGGGCATACCTCAAAATATGTGCTGATAAGAAACACCCACTGCATCAAGCGCTTTTTAGTGAAAAGGGCGACAGACTGAAGAGGGGAAAATCGTGGCTAGGTCGGGCAGAAGATGTTATTAGGCAAATATGCAGCCTAACCGACATCATACCTGGTGCAGAATGGATACCTGTGCCTCAGGCGTTTATTTGTACATTTTCCTGTATTGTCACACTCAACAGGCGATGTAGAGAAGAGAATCCTGTTGCTGTTAATGCAGAGGTCAACGCTCTCATCGGTGAAAATTCAGACGAAGCAGATGCACTAATCTACACAGACGGATCCGTCATACGCCAAAGAAGAAGCGCATGGGCATTTACAGCACGCTCAGCGGGCAGAACAGTCAAAGAAGCCAACGGTGCCTTCTCCATGACAACCAGCAGCATGACGATGGAGGTGATGGCAGTGACGCAAGCGTTTGCCTGGCTTGAAACACAAAAATACACCCGCATATGTATACTCAGTGATTCAATGAGTATGATCCGGAGGGTTCAGGCAGGTTCAGTGCGAAGACAATGGCTTGAATCATTACAGAAGTCCACTGTGCGTGGAGTCACCTTTATTTTTGTTCCGGGACACGCAGGCGTCGATGGAAATGAAAGAGCTGACAGGTTGGCTGGTTCCGCTATCATTACCGACGGTCGGCCTATGGATCATGCTGATATTATCAATGCCCTCAGAGAAATGGGAAGGATAGAAGACTTTGGTGGCAGTGAATCCACATCACTCGCCAGAATGGCAGACTTGGGAATTAAGATCGGCACAGCAAAAAACGAGACGCACACCGGACACGTCAGAAGACTTGTTAATCAACATAGAACTGGTACTATTAGCCATCGGACGTTGGGGTTCATACTGAGGGGAGGATCTGAGCACCTATGGACATGTCCGGAGTGCAATGACGATAACCCAACTAACTAACTAACTAACTAACTAACTAACTAACAAGCGGAAGGTCAACAAAGGGATGGACAGTCAGCAGTCGGAGAGCATACAACCAAGACAAAAAATGTGTTGGAAATCCATTGCAGCCAATCTTCACTGTGGAGATGGCAACTGATTGTTTGAGTAAAGCACAGCTGTCTTCTCTGTGTCTGTTGATATCACACCCAGGTTCGTCTTATGTTTTGCTACAGGAGTAATTGAAAGAGAATAGATGGGAAGAAAGATGGTCGTGTCAATTGTGGTGATGATGATGATGTCTTGCTTGCTGCATGCTCCTAACGTCACTGATGCTTGAATAATAAAATGTCTGGATACAACTGTTCTTTTCTATACTGTCTTTATTGTGATACTTCAGTAATGTCACAAACGACATCAATGGTATTCTGAATGGTCGCTGTTTTAGCTCTATGGTTATAAGCTCTTGAGGTCACGTTGTGTTCTTCATCTCTAGTTACTTTGTAAAATTGGTTCTAGTGTCTGTAACTGCCACCTGGCTTCTAGTGCTATCCGGCACTAACAGTTTGATCATCAAATCTAACATCTTAGTAATGTTTTCACCAAATCTCTCTCTGCTGACCATGGATCCATGTATCTTGCCTGTTGTTTCTGTAGTTCACTGTTTCGTTTCGTGTCCACTCTCTAGCGACTGCCTCGAGGTTCCATGTGGCCGGTTCCTCTTCTTTGAGTGTTGAGCTGACATCTATACAACTAAAGGTTCTCATCTGCAAGGGTCAATATGACTAGCCCCTCTTACTAAAGTCTTGTTGATTGAAGATTCTTCCTAGCATGTGGGGGTCCATGTTACTAGTCCCTCCTCTTCCAAGTCTCAGCGACTGAATGTTACCCAAGTGGTTTCCTACTCACAATTTTTACTGAGATGCTGGAATGCGTTGAATGTGTTTTCTACTCACTACTGCTTCGGAATATGCTTGTATGCTAAAATTTGTTTACTATGTGCGCTTTCAAGTGGGATTTTCTAATTGTGTCTCGATTGCATGAGATAACTCTGCACCAAAATATGCCAATTAAATTGACAGTTGGCCTTTTAGGCGACTTCCAGAACTTTTAGAAAATGAGTGCTGTTTCTCTTTGATATGGCACGTCAATGATTACATCAGATGCTATATATATATATATAGATAGGTTATTGCACAATATCTATGCTAATAAAGAAATGATGGCTCTAGAAATGGGATGTCAAGATTGCCCATTTGATTATTCTAATTATGCGCAATATCCTAACTCTGACAAACAAGTGATGAGTTCTTCTTGTTACTATAAACAATGACTGCATTTAAAGTTCAAGACTGTTTATGTTGGCACTAAACTCGTAACTGCATGCACTGAACAATCATGTCATAAGAGTTGACTAATTATAGGTTTTTCCATCACGACAGAGTGCATCTGCCTCATAGGTTAGGAACCAAGAGTCTACATACAAACGAACAAGATCTTTAAAACGGATGTGCTTGCAAAAATCAGATTCTGAAACAAGACTGAAATCTAGAGATAAGCAGCCATATTTCTGCCAGAGTTTACAGCCGGTAAACACAAAGAAGAAGAAGAAGGCCACATTCACAGGAATATAATGACCATACGGAGAAGCCATATTTGATTCATGCTTCTCATAAATGTCACACACAGTGCCCTGGGCATCCACGTGAAAGGTGATATTTGCTAAGAGAGAAGTCTAACATGCTGAAGAAGCAATATGCCCATTTTGTGTAGGTAATCAAAGTTAACATGTGTGGGTTGCATCCTGGGATTCCTTAATGGGCGAGTTTGTAATGAGTGGAAGGCTCAATATACAGATGTGAGGTTAAACAGTCATGTGCTTGGTACCAGAGTGCCATGTATCAGCACTTCCTTTATGGAAGCTTTGATGGATGACATCAGATGCCCTAAATGGATCTTCCAGGGACAGCACCTGTGAATCACGGGATGATGAAGTTACCACACAAATGAGGCTGTAAAATGTCCCACAACTTACTGCAGAACAACCACAGAACAACCCAGAAAACAAATGATGCCCAAAGAAGTCAGATGTTTTTGCTGAAAGGTGCAAAAATCCCCGCTATGCTGTAAATGGGCATAACAAATTTACATCATTCAGAAGAAAAGATGAAAAACAAGTACAGCTTTTGGTTATCTGTGAGTAATACTTTAAATTAAATGAAAGCTATGCAAATGTAAGCATTAAAATAAAAGAAAAAACTATAAAATATGAGAAACTTGAACACACTTGCGAATGCCTTGGTGGTTCTCAAGTTTGGCAATTATTTTTATGTTTGCCCCTCTGGGGCCAAGGACCTTTCTAATTTCCTTAACACCTGCAGCATCTCGAATAAATGAAGCAAAAATCATATCAACCTGAAAGTAGACAGCAAAAAATAAAAGTTTTGTCATTTTGGATATTTCAAGTGACATTGCCAACCATCTAAACTAGAGGGGGGCAACCTTTACTTGGTCGGCAGTCCAAATCTAGAATTATCAACCGGGTAACAGGCCACATGGAAAAAATATATTATAAACATAAAACCCAGATTTCCTCATAAGACAACATTTTTCTGGGATAATCTAAGATTATAATTCCTTGTTGTGCCTCTGGCCACACACTCACCCACTGAAGCTCTTCTTCATATCTGGTAACATCAGTTTCTGGTTATCACAGTTCAGTTTATCACTTTCTCTAGATGTTGATTTTTGGATTTTTTTCTTTCTATGTACAATTTAGGTTCTGCCATTCTGTAAGCTCAAGGACAAAATAATATCAATTTTACACCAGCCTCACAGGCTACTAAACATTTTTAGGTGGCTAATTATGGCCTACAGGCCATAGTTTGCCCACTCCTGATCTAAACCAACTAGTTCAGAAACATCAGTGCCTGAACAACCTTTTTATGTCCATTGACATTTTTGGGGAATGACATTATGCAATAGTTATATGACAGGCTCAAAACAGCAGTCAGGCAAACCATCTATGCTACCCTACTGTTGATCAACTCTGCCAGTGAAAAAACCGTTGTGGACATATGCCACATTAAACTGTAACTGCAAATTTAAATGTGACTCTAATACTGCATACGCATGTAGAAAGCATCGATTTCTGAAGATACAAGTAGCTGAACAATACAAGTGTTAAGAGCTGAGCAAAATACTAACACAAACAATTCAACACACTGAATCAGACTGGTGAAAGAGATAACCCCTTGTCCATCATGTTCCATCTTTTGAATTCTAGCAACAGGGTAAACAAGGACAATGCATTTTAAATTATGCAAACTTGGACTAATCACATAATTCTTTGCTATTTATAATTAATTAAAAAATAATTAAACTGCTCCTCTCCAGATTTACACAGACAGAAGGACATGGTTGTGAACCTGCGCCTACCCTAGTAGAACAGGCAGTTACTTTTAAATGTTATGTATTTCAGTTATAAGGATTCATTTGTTAGCTTCATTTTAATTAATTGTGCTGTAGTAATCATCTGACAGGATACAGCAAAATATGCCAGGCAATAAATTATGCTTGTTTGTGTCTTCTATGCTGAAATTATAACAGTTGAATCAATCAATCAGGTGCCATCTCCACAATGAAGATTGACTGCAATGGATCATCAGTATGTCCTGTCTCCTACCTTGGTTGTACACTTTCCAAGATTGTTGTTTGTCCATTTTTTATTTTATCTTCCCACTTGTTTATTTCTTGCTCTTGCTCCAATATGTTTTTTTTTTAAACAGTGGTATGTTTTTGAATGTGTTCAAAATGTCTCACATGTCTTTTTTTTTTTTTTTTATTTCTTCCAGAAACTTTTAATTTCTAGTCTCTTCCTAGCCTACTATTTTACTGTTTTGTTTTGTTTTTGTTTCCATAAAATTCAATCAATTATTTTTATACCCACACCTTCAGAGTTTTATTTTTTTTTGAAAATATTTTTAGTCGGTCCTATTATCTTCTTTAAATTCTGTTTCACTTCTGTTACTACATGTACAAGATAGGAAAAATTTGTTGCTTGTTCTAATATGTTTAGTGTAATGTTCACTGTTGGCTGCAGCTTTCTATTGTTATATTTTGTTTAAAAAAAAAGAAGCGCTTAGTTATCTGATCGCGCGTTTTTATTAGTTTGTATATAAAATACCGTACTTGGGTATGTGAAAAGCAGACTTAAATATTGTTTACAGTGTCCAGTGGACATGTAGGTGTGAATTGCATAGGTTTTTGTAATCATTACAAAGCAGTGGTCAAATATGTTTAAGACCTTATCTGTGAGCATAGCTCACGATGTGCGCATGAGAAAGCAACACAATTTGCGGTGAACACTATTCACTGCCTACGCAACAGATATAAAAGGATAACGCTGCACAAAAACGATCACTTCATTTTCAAGCAGTCACGAATGGCGCATCTATCAACAAATTTAAGGAATGTTGCTATTGGCCGATTGCAGGCAGGAGAAAGTCAAAGTCAGGTTGCCAGGCATCTAAACGTGCATTAGAGTAACATCAGTCCACTTTGGCACTGGTTCTAAGCCACTGGTTCAGTTTAGGACCGACATCGCAGTGGATGACCCAGAGTGACAACAGCAGCGGATAATCGCTTTATTTGGCTTTGTCACCTCAGAGACAGGTTTACAACAGCTTTCTTAACTGCAGAGGCATTGCCTCCAGGACGTCATGTGTCTGATCAAACTGTTCAGAACAGACTGCATGATGTTGGACTTTGGGCTCGACAACCATACCGATGACCTGTCCATACGTGTTGCCAAGGCCAAAATCGACTTCTTTGGGCCAACCAACATCATCCCTGGGCAAGTGACAATCAGTGGAGATGTGTCTGGTTTAGTGACGAATCTTTCTTTTTGTTGAAGCGTCATGATAGACGGCACAGGGTCTAACATAAACAAAATGAAGGTTTAGCCCAAAATTGTGTTGATGAAGCTCTGCTGCAAGGTGGTGGAGGTGTAACTGAATTGGGAATGTTTAGTTACAATGGAAGGAGTCAATTGGTGCACATTGAAGGAAGCTTGAATGCACATCGATACGTCCATGAAATTCTTCGACCACTTGTCCTTCCATTTTGGGATGCCAACAGATATCTTTTTCAACAGAACAACGCCAGACCCCATTCTGCACAGTGGACCATGCAGTTCTTGGCTGCCAATAACATTCAAACCCTTCCCTGGCCATCCCTGTCTGCAGACATGAGTTCGATTGAGCACCTGTTGGATGAGCTGCAAAGATGTGTTTGTTGCTGAAACGTTGCTCCAGCCAATCGTTGTGATATGTTCCAGACACTCCAGGAAGAGTGGGCAGCCATCCCACAGGCCCACATCAGACATCTGATCGCATCCATGCCCAGGTGATACCAGTCTATGATCCACGCAAGAGGAGGCCACACACCATACTAACGGGAACTGCCTATGCTTAAAAACTATCGTGACCCAGATGCAAAAGAAAAAGGTGTAAATTGATTGGTGGAACCCTAAGGTATTTTTTTGTGAAATTTGAGTAATTTCACTTACTGCATTACAAATATGCAGAATGTCAAAATTTTGAGTATGTTTGTTCCTTTCAATAACTATGTGTTTCTTTTTTTTTGAATATTATTATATAATTTTTTTCAAACATTAATAATATCTAAATCATGCTTTGCACTTTACCAATTTACTTGCTCTACTAGATCATGTAACTCCTGGTGACTTTCTACTATCATTGTGCCATGTGCATATCTCATAGTATTTACTCTTCTTATCTGATTTTCAATCCCGGCAATCCATGGCTATTTTTTTTGTTGGATCTGACAAATTATTATTTGTGGATTGAGAAAAGGACATAAAACTCATCAGTCTCATGTACACAAAGCAAAAGACCAATCTAAACCAATAGTATTTTTTTTTTTTTTTTGTCGCAAGCACGCCCCTCAAACTGTGGAATATACATTTCTGTACCAAATATAGAACACAAACATCTATTTATTTCCTGGATGAAACGACCATAGTTACCAAACTACAAAAGCCAGTAGGATTTGCTGAGGAAAGTGCAACTCATGCAGAATATACTTTCATTTATAGATCAATTCAAGGACTTCAATAGATATACATTAATCTTACAGCAGAAGCTATCATCACTCAGTGGCGACCAGTTCGCCCATTGGCTGGCTGGTAGGGACAGTGTTTGGGTCTTTCTTGAGTACATCAACACAGCAAGAGACCTTTTCAGGGCTGCTTGGTGGTGAGCAATGCTAACAGTCATTTTAAAATACGCACATGAAGCTAGTAACAATTATAACCAATGGCATGATTGTTGGAGACAAAGTAAGAAAAAGTAAGAGAGTTGCTGCAGATGGCAGGGTAGGGAAACACAACATAGGTAAAAGCTGTAAGACAGAAAAATGCATTTTTAAAAATCATTGATCTATAATGAATTTTTGCGGAGCTCTTATACTTTCTCTAATTATGTTATAATCAATAGAAGCATTCATAAAACAGATGACATCAACCAGTAATATTTGTAAAGAGAAGAAATCTTAGTAATCAACAACTATTTTTAAAAAAAGAATTGTAATCAGTCAGAGCTGCCAATAAATGCATGTTTTAGTCAGAAACTGCAAAACAGATCTAAATAAAATATGACCACCTTAAGTAAGTCTTTGACAATACTCCCCACTAACAAGTTGGGCATATTATTTTAATTTTTACAATTATAATATTGAAATATGAACATCAAGATTAAAATAATCCTACTTAAAAACAGCAAAGGAATAATTAAAAAAAAACGAATAATTTATACAGAAAAAAGTGATTACAATAATTTCTATTTTAACACACTATAGTGACAATGAAAATTATTAATTACCTCAACTTACCCCCATTTCTACACCAAACTTTATATCTTGCTTATCTTTGTCTGAAACTGCAGGCAAATCTACAGCTGTGCCTGGCAAATTACAACCCTTCTTTGATCCTAACAAACCACCATTCTCAACTTCACAAATCATGTAGTCGCGACCTACACATAAGAAAACAACAAGATTAAGACACTCATTTTACATACAATTTAAGCATAGCCAAGAAATTTGTAATACACACATGCATATACATAAAATAAACAGTAGGGATGGGACTTGCATGAATATCTGACAGCATGGATAGTGCAGGGTTCTAATCTCTATTATGTTTCAATTCCTGCCGCTAACAATTATTTATTCAGGTACTACCAGCAACTATCAAACTCTTGTGCTGCCAATTCATGTATATCTATCTGAAGTTGTTTGAAAATATTGGGATTTAAAAAATATGTTATATTATGGTATCACAATCGACATGTTTGCACACTGGACATCCCCATGCATGTTTAGTCTTCCGATGCAGCAGCCACTTCAAGGCACCCCTACTGACTGCTCCCATGAGTTGGTTATAGTATCTCGTCTTTACCAAGCTTAACTCCTCGGTCACACAGTTGCATCAGCATTAGAGGTTCGCTGTTATCCCCCAACCGAGTCCGTACAACATTGATATCAGCTTTGTTCATGCTTCTTCCCACTTGCATTTATGTATTACTTGACAGCTGGTCAGCTCTTTCATTAACATTTACTCCTCTGTGACCAGGTGTGTAGATCTGGATGATTGAGATTAACTCTGACTTTTCAATGCTTTTTACCCATTTGGAGCGCAGACTACCTGTAGCAATTTCCTGAAGTTTGTTCAAAGAGTCTGAAGTGATTACTGCATGTGTGGCTATTTGTTGTGCTACCCATGCAAGTGCTCTGGAAGCAGCAGTTATCTCCATGGTCATGTTTGACGTAGTTGTCTGGTAAGCGCCGCTATCCTCTTTTATTGTTTCTCCCATCCCTTGTGCTGTGAATGACCATACTGATCTTGACCCGCATTTCACAGACTCATCTGTGTAAATGACGTCTTCTGGGCATGAATGCTGATCAATTACTGCCCAATGTCGGCGTCTATGGTGGCAGCAATTTGACTCCTGCAGTACCTCCCCAGTCTTCTTCTTCTTCTTTCGTTCGCCTGAAATAAGTTGTCTATATCAGCAAATTTGTCTCTTGTATAAATTTCACCGCTGTTGTTAATTCATTCAGTGGTCCACAGAGTACACGCCATGGAAATATGTCACCTCCCCAGTGTCATGACAACCTTAAACAAGTCATGCAAGTCTACTGGTGTTTCTGTCCATTCTTCTCCGTGACTAATCTAGGTCACATACTTGCTGGATTAGAATTTCTACCATCCAGGAAAAGCCTCTTTTGAGACGCATCCTTTTTATATCATTGATAGCATTGTGAAATAGGTGGTTAATTGCTGATATCCTTATGTATGCTTTCACCTGTGCCACTTTATGTCTGGTGGCCATCACCGGTAAATCCAGTACATTCAGCGTGGCGAGGCACAAGGTGTCTTTTGTGCAGCCGAGTATCTCAGGACCTCATTTTTACCCAGTCCAGTCTTTTAGCTGGTTTCTGCTGACAGTGAGGAGGCCCAAACCGTAGTCTATTACACTTAGTATGTCCCTGATAGAGCAGGAAAAGGCGTTGTTCAATGTCGGTGTATGTCATCACCTTCAGCCCTTTCCTGGCTCTAACTATGACACTGTCTATGTGATTCTTATTTGACAATCATCTGTCAAAAGTTATACCAAGGTATCTCACTGTGTTCCTTCAATCGATGTCTATACTACACTTGCTGATGACTGGCGTGATTTAAAAAAAATATATGAACTAGAGTAAACTTGTCAACAGAAGTACTTTTTACCTTTGTGAACCTGACATAATTTGTATGCTAAATCTAGTGAAAAGCATGCAACAACAATATCAACGCTGGTGCACATTAGTAAAAACAACACTAAGTCATAAACTGCAAATGTACACAATACCTTGCAGATATGTAGGTAAATGCAGATAATTTGTTCTAGGAAGAAGGCATGTGCTATGAGTAAATAAACCAGATATGAGTGAAAGAACTGTGGTAAGCAAAAACTGATAACATTAGAATAAAGGTGTCATTGCAGTCTGGGCTTTCAGTTGTTACTTTATGCATTCAGTATTAGAGAACACGGTGCTTGTGAGGTTGTTAGGCCCAGAAAGAGAGTGACACCCCTTGCCATTAAGGCTTGAACGTGTCACAGGTCCTGTCCTATGTTGCGGGGTTGTCATGCTTAGTGACCAGCCAGCAACATGACAAATTTTACGTGTAGTTGTCAGCGTGTGTTCTTATTCCATGATGTGAGCGCTTTTAACGGTCCACAAACATGAAGAACTGGCCCTAACCCAAATCCCCCTACAGCCTCAGCCTATGTCCAATGAGAGAGTGTAGCCTACATTCCATAACTGCATGCAGCCTATGACAGCAATGGGTGAAATACGTTGTAACGCTCACTAAGCGTGACACCCCTACAACATAGGACAGGCCATGCGACCCGACCAGGCATGAATGACAAGGGAAGTCACTCTCTTTATGGGCCCTACTTCATTACTTGAACCGAAAACCCATTACTCAAAAGACATTACAGAAACTATAATTTAGCTATGTGAAAAAATTTTGTGTGTATGTTATTAAAGGGCTTGTGCCCTGTAACTTTCTTGATACTGTTTGTAAGTTAAATTTCATATTACATTTTGGTTACTTTTCAGTGCTAGAATTAAGTAATCTTGATGTTCATGAAAACAGGCTGCATATCTAAAAGCCACTGGTAAATAAATAGCTAAGGCACCTTTAAAAAAAAGAATTTTTAAACAATGGGATCAGTCACAGTTTAACAGACTACCATAAATTCTCTTGCTCCCTGCAAGATGGTACAGTTAAACATATTTCAAATCAATCTTTTGAGGTCACCTTTTAAGTGGATTTCCCCTTGCACATTTACTTTCAGCACTGACCTATGTCTTTTAATAGAATATTGCTATTAAATGTTGTCAAACAATTAACTTACAGTAGTAAAAGAAAGTGAATTCATAACTGTTAGAATATGCAGCTGTTTACCTTTCACTCTACAAATGACTGAAATAAGGCCGTCATCAATGTAAACTCTGTTCCCAACATCAACCACTTTACATATGTTCTTGTAGTCTACCCACAAGACACTCTTGTTACATCTATTCATAAACTCATCATTGACTGTGATGTTCAAATACTCTCCTGTTACTAAGGCAACTTCTGCAGTAGCACTCTAAAGAAGACAGAGGCAAACTCTTCAATTTTGTTAATAATAAAAATACATTCTAAAGTCAATGAACATGCTGCTATAAATATGCACAAGCTTATTTCCCATTCCTAGTCTGAGATTGTGGCTAGTACTCTTGCCTGGCAATCTGGTGGTATTGAAAAAAAATCCCCATGAAGACAGAACTTTTTGAGTCCAGAAGACTCTTAGTGTTAAACCAGCCTCATAGAACTGCATCAAATCAATTTCTGAAAGGTAAGTGACTGACATGTTAATGACATCATCTGCAGAATGTCATTACGTCAAGAAAATATAGGTCCAACATCATATCCCCAATATACTAGTTTACATTTTGTATGTATGTTAAATTCACACAAACATGGATGAATGACTGCTGGTGTCACTCTATTTCTCCCGACTAGCATCACACAAATGAAACTGAGTAATGGCTTGTGTGCATACGTCTAAATATTTGGAGTACTCTCATCATTTTGTCTCTCAGGTACCTTTTGATTCTGCTCTGCAGTTTGGGACTGAAGCACTACCCTGCCTTCTTAGCTGTGCTGGGAAAATCAGTGTACTTTATTTTTATAAAAACAATTAAAAACTCTTGCATTAGCAAATACGATGATTGTATTATAGCTATTATTGATTTGTGCATGCATACATTCTGAAGAAGAATGTTGAGAATACCTTGGACTGCCAGAATAACCACCACTGAATGCCTGGAAATGGCTAATGAAAGTAGAACATTATTATACAACAATGAGAAAGAGACCAAGTTTTTTGGTCATGTAATGAGAAAATGAGTTGGAAATTATCGTGACGACTTGGTGGATGGCTTAAGACAGTGGTATGGAGGAATATCATCAGTAGAATTGATCCAGAACACCAAAGACCAAAATCTGTGGCGAAGCATGAACGCCTATGCTAGCTGGCAAGGCACTTGATGGTGATGATACATTTCTGAGTATTTATTTATAAATAAACTGTTTCAAGTATGACAAACATAAAATCTAAGGAAGAAAAGAGCGATGGACAAAAAAAGTAATGCTTGTGTGATGAATATAGAAATCAATGCTCCCACCTTTGTAATGTATGAAGGCTTTTTACTTCAACCATTGCAACAGAACAGTGTCAATACCCCGAGATTTGGGGCACAGCTACTTAATCCCACTTAAAAAAACCAGTCAAAGATAATTCCAGACTCAGTGGTTTCAGGATTATCACTCTAAAAATATTTTTGGCAAGGATAAGATTACTGCTGAATTGCAAAAGTTTTTGGAAAGGAAAGAGCTCCTGCCAAGAGGTTTGGGCAGTTTAAGCCAAGGAAAGGTACCAGTTTAAATGCCGCCACTTTTGCATTTCATGTTTATGAGGGGTCCCAGAATAGAGAGAAGATGGTAGTGGCAGCACTTGATCTTGAGGATGCCTGTGCTCATGGAGAACTGGCTGGTGAACAGGATAATAGCTGCCTTGCATTCACACATGGCTGCCCTCTGCCTGGGTACATGGACCTCAGAACCAAGCACTGTCACCCCCGGACTAGCCCTGGGTTCTACAATTTAACCAGTGCTCTTCAATGTGTATACAAGCAAGATTGCAGAACCTAAAGCACCAGGGGTTGGAAGGATACTAACATTTGCAGATTTTCTTGTACATAGGCAGGGGAGCAACAGGCAAAAGATGGCCTAAGAGCTACAAGCAACATGTAGACAAAGTAAACGATCAATGTGCAGATGTGCTGTCATCAACCCAAAGAATCAGCTGTAAGAGCTGATGTTTCAAGCCTTATATTTAATAACAGAAACATCAAAAGAGAATGCAAACTGAGGTCCCTTAGTATCACTTTTAATATAAGCCTATCCTTAAGAGGGATAAAATGGAGGCAGTTGCAGTGTCATGCGAAAAAAAGGGCATAATGCACCCAAGATTATGGATAAGGAACTAAGAATGCTTTTCACAATGTTCCAGCATGTGATTCTCTCAGTGATTATGATTATGGACTTGGAATGCTTATTGTATCAAAGAGTCAGCTGATGAAACTTGAATGCATACAGAATGAAGCCATGCAGGTTATTCTAGGATGCATAGGAGCTACTTTGGCAGTATGTATGCAATATATACTTGCACTGCTAACTATTAGAGATATACCAAAGTGCTGCAGGCAAAGTCATATCTCAGAGCAGCAGCAGACATGAAGCACCACCTGCATGAAGCCTTAAGGAGAGCTAAGGGTAACAGACTAAAAAGAAGACAGTCTTGGATAGTCCTAGCTGAAGACACAATTAAAACTCTGAGCAGGTTTGATAACATTGGGCGAGGAGAGGAGTGGGTCAAAGTGTCTGAACAATAATCATACCCGTGCAGAGTTTTAACCACATGGGGCTGTGAGTGCAGGGACTGGCCAGATGGTGCTACAGAATCAGAAATTTTACACATGATTCATGCCAATTTTTGCCCAGGTGATGTGATGATCTATACAGATGGCTCTGTGTTGAGAGGCATGGGAGTTCATGGAGTTCATAGTAAAAAAGCGAATGAACGTCACTTGATGCAGCAAAGCCTGGCATATGATATCACATCTAGTCTGAGAATGAAGTTGGAGGAGGTCAGTGCAGCCTTCCCTTGTTTTCAAAGCAAACTGTGCACATGTGTCGTAGTTGTAACTCATAGCATGTTGAGAAAGGTTTAGACAGGGATGCTCCGTGCAGAGTGGCAAGCATCACTTAAGAGGTCCCGGCAGTTAGCATCCTTTGGATATTTTCCACAGGTCATGCCGGTGTGTTGGGAAATTAACAGGCAGATTGATTGGTTGGCTGTGCAGCACTTGGTGGAATACTGATTGATGCAGGATTAGCCAGATGTTGGAAGGATCTTTTAGGAGCGAGTTAACATTGCAGAGGAACATACAGATCATTATGATCTGAGGAGAATGGTGCTGCTAGTAGTAACCACGGGAAAGGTGAGATGGATTAAGTCAGACTGGAACTCTGCTATTGCTGCTGAAGATGGGAATGGAGTGCTTTTGGAAATGTGCCAAGTTCTGTGACGTTGATTCTTGATTCAACATGTAGTGTTGGAAAAAATCAATGTTTGTGTAATGAATTAATAAATAAAGTGTCTGTGTGGTCTTCTTGACCTCCTCTGTTACCATTCAAGGTGTTGAGGGAGATAACAAGGTTCTGTCTATTCCTTTTTCGGCTTTACTGGACATACACAATTGATACTCTCATGCAGTACTTCTGATTTTTTTTCTTTCCACCTTGTTCCTGGGAAGTCACCACCGTAGTGTAGCGGCTAGACGCTCGCGTGCATATCGGAAGGTCGTGGGTTCGCTGCCTAACGATGCTAGACATTAAAAAAAGAAATGACATTGACTCCCAGGTCAACCTAGCCTTGAGTGGGTACCTGATGCAGTCCCGTGAAGTAAAGGCAGCCGGCCACATTTCAAAGTAAAATAAAGAAAATCACGTGCATTATCAGAAACATTATGAGAAATGTGACCACTACAATGTTTCCGAGAATCTGACAATGTCTCACCAACATGGAAGATAACGCTGAAAATTCATCAAATTTTTTGTACAAGCGCTACAAAGTTGTTTCCCTTATTTAAAGTAGAGAAATGAACTGGCTAAAGGCTTCAACCAAATTCATCCCAAAAATCACTATTTAAACATGACGGCGAGTGTCTAGAGCTACCATCGCAAAAGGGTGCAACGCTGGCAGAAAGAAGTAAACATCACTTCATCGCATAACGTACGGCGTGGGCAGTCAGTAGGTTAAGTTGAACTTTGATAAGACGAATTTAGTTAAAGTCATCATGATCAGCTTAGTTCCAGCCATTTTCATGCATAATGCTGTTTAAGGCGAAGTGTTGGATGTTTGTGATTTGACCTGTTTAAGGCGAAGCATAGCTTCTTCTTCTCTTCCACCTTGTACCTCAAAAAAGTGTCGGGGGGAGATGTAACTTTCACTGATGAGCTCTGTCAAGAGCACTATTAAGACTGATGTTCATTTCTGTAAGGATGTTCTTAATGCCATCAATCCATATTTTCCGAGGTCTTCCACTCGCTCTATACCCGTTATAACGTTTCAGTGTGGCTCACTGTGGCAGATAGTACCAGGGCATTCTTGTTAAGTGTCCAAAAAACACGCATAGCTGCATTCTGTAGGCGCTCTAGTTTAACCAGCTGACTCTTTGAGACAGTAAGCAGCCATAGTCCATAATCAATCACGGACATGACAAGAGCTGATATAATGTGAAAAAGTATTCTCTGCTCTATGCCCATTGCAGTCATAGTTTTAAGTGCAATGACTTGCCAGAACAAATCAAGGCAGAAAAAGCCTTGTACGCTGATGATCTAGCAATATGGCAGAGTCATGAAAATATAGAAAGTGGAGCCCAAATACTTAATGGAGACCTTAGAAGACTGCACAAGTACTGCCAAAGATGGAAACTCAAGGTTAACTATATAAAGACGGTCTACACAATCTTTACCAAAAGCCATCAAGTAGCAAGGAAGAATATTACACTGTGTACATGAGGTACTGGACAGATACCACCTCCCAGAAAGACGTCAGGGCACTCAGAATGTTGCAAGAAACTTACCACCACATGCTCGCTTTAAAGCTCCAGAAGTCCGGTTTAAATTGGTAGACAAAGAAACTAAACAGTCCAATCCAATCACCCTTATGAACTCATCACTAAAGACCATTGATTCTTACCCTGAAGAATGGATACATGTTTATACTGATGGATCTGCATTCAAATCTACCATTAAAGTAGGTTACGGAATCTACATAGGTTACCCTGATGGATCTATTGAAGAGATATTTGATGCATGCGGGAAATTATGCTCAAATTATGAAGCTGAAATAATTGCACTAGAAACAGCAGTATACCACCTAAAGACTGTAATGGATGTTTATCCTTCAAAGGCCCAAAATACTGTCATCTTTACCGATTCAATGTCTGCTCTTCAAGCTCTGGAGGGCAGTGAATGCTGCAGAACTGACATAGCCAAGATAATTCTAGATGCTGATCAGCTCATTAACTCATACAACATCAGAATAGTGATGCAGTGGATTCCAGGCCACTCCGGCACACCAGGTAATGACAGAGCTGACAGACTGGCTAAGAAAGGAGCAGCACAAGAACAACCACCTACAGCGACAACTCTACAGACAGCAAAAACACTTATAAAAGCTATAAACAAAGAGACTTGGCTGAACAGATGGGCCATGGGAGGTACTGGAAGAGAGGTTTATAGACACATGGCTAGCCCTGATCCTAGCGACAGCACTAACCATTTAACAAGAAGGGACCAGGCCACCATCTTCAGACTCAGAACATAACATGCTCCACTCAATGGACACCTATACAGAATACAGCCACAACACTCCCCAGAGTGCCAGCTATGTAACTACCCCTACGAAACTGTTGACCATCATCTCTTTGAGAATGCTACTTAATTCGAGACCAAACAGGTGGAACACCTTGTACGGAGGAAAATAACAGCTTGTGAAAACATGTAAATTCCACTACATGGCATTAGGCCAAAGGGCCAAAGCTCATGTACTGCTGGATCAATAACAACAACAACAAGTGCACTGAGTATCTTTTGGCATCTTGTCACAACCGTCTCCAAAGGGTCCTTGAAAAACAGGCTCTTGTCAAATGTGATTCCCAGATATTTCGAATATTGCTTTCACTGTTGATGCTTTCTACCATGGTACATCAGCTCTAACAATCCTGTTGTCTACAGAAAACAACACAGACGCCTTTCCTGGGTGGATTCGGTGGATGACAGCACTTATTTGTGTACATCAGTCAATAACTGTGTGTACTGTCACCTGTAGCTCCTAGGCTGTTTGTTCCCCATCCCTCCCCTGCCTATAAGTGATATCATCTGTAAATGTCAGTATTCTTCCAACCCCTGGAGCTTCTAGGCTTGCAATCTTGTTTTAATACATTTTAATAGCTTTGAGGCCCATGAACCCAGACTTCACCACACAGACCTCCTCCCCCATAAGAATAGTCTGAGGAATACAATGCAAGGAAGACACTATAATATAGTAACACAGTCTGAAAATCATAACAGTTATTAAATAACCAACTTTACAGCAAAGTGATGCCTTTTTTCTGCTTCATTTAAATGTGGCCTTGAAGAACATTATAAAGAAGATAAAATAAGACTGTACTACAGAAGAAAGCCCATGAATACTTGGCTCTGAAGATGACACAGATAGACGAAAATGAAGTAGAGACAGTGAATACACTGACTCATTTAAACGAAGCAGCTAACACAATTGGGACTAGTATCCATCAACTAGAACAGAATTCAAGGTCATTACAAGAGAAGGAACTAAAAACTTTGATGCTACATAAACAAATGAATGGAAACATACAAGTACATGGGTCCAAACTTCAACTGCACCAACAAGAAGAAAAGTAAGAGAAGAAATACAATCTAGAATACAATCTGGGAAAAAGTATACTATGCCCTCCATCATTTGCTAAAATCAACTGCTCCATCTCACAACATCAAAGTCATAATTCACAAAACACTAATAAGACAGACCTATATGGCTCTGAAACCTGGAGTATAATTTAAAAAAGGGCCTTATTACAAAATGTTGAGAACAGGGTCTTATGAGAAGTTTTTGGACTGATCAAAGATTTAAACCAGCCAGAGAGAGAGAGAGAGAGAGAGAGAGAGAGAGAGAGAGAGAGAGAGAGAGAGAGAGAGAGAGAGAGAGAGAGAGAGAGAGAGAGAGAGAGAAAGAGAGAAAGAGAGTGGGTGGGGGGAGAAAGAGAGAGAGGGGGGAGAAAGAGAAACAATAACATTTATAATCTGCTTAAATCACCACTAACTATAATTGGCATCATGAGAGTTTACAAACTTTAATGGTTGGGTCATATATGAGAATGGCAGAGACATAATATACAGGCAGACCTACAAACACTTGGAGTCATGAAGTTGAAAAAAAAAAAAAGTGTATCCTAAAGATCAATGAAAGGTGGTGATATCTGCAGCAATGAACCTGAGGAGCAAAGAATGATGAAGAAGATAAAATAAATAATGTTCATCAGCCTTTTTTTCTCTTCAACAAAATACATTCATATAATTATTCTTAGTGCATCTATACCATTTTTAACCATTATTTAAGAAACAATGTGATTAGTACCATAAATATATAGTATAACATGTATGTGGAAATATGAACAATCTAACAGCATACCCCATTAATAAGACCTGTTCTTATTTCAGGACCCTTGGTATCCAACGCAATTGCTACTGGTCTTGGCTCAGAGAAACCTTCCACTGCCTTCCTGACATTTTCAATAGTTTCACGGTGATACTGTAAGAAAACAAAATAACACCCCATCAAAATTTTTCTTATTATTGTAAACATAAGCTGCATGTGTCACATGACAGCACAAAACCTCTCTGGTCTTGGACCTGCTTGTACACCTCTATGTAAATAAGCTATTTTCAAATCTCTGACTTTCCTCTATAAGTAAATAGTCCTTCTTTCTTTTGTACTTATGAGTCAAGATGTCAGGATAAGTAGTCAGTTCCTTCCTAAATCTATTGGGAGTGAGTTATGTTCTGAATTCACTTATAGGTAAGAAACTTCTAAGAGTAGCGAGCCTTTTTCCATCGGCTGAACTACCGCCACTTAAGCGGAAGAATATGATCCCGTTTCTGAGGTTTTGAGAATTTTAGTTGACCGCCTCATTCTTGAGTTTCTAGAGCTAGCGGACGGCTTGATGCCCTGTCTGTCTATCTGCTATACCTTCTTTTAAAAGTCACCGATTCACCATGGAGCATGGGTGACTATGAGTAAATTACTTTAAAAAAATTACTCTGCCTTGATGCTGCTAAACAGGAGTGTGCAGTCATGGGACAGCAACAGAAATAAGCAGTCGACAACTTAAATGGCAGGGAAGCGCTAAACAGATTGTTTTACCAACACTCCACCAGATTCCTTAAAGGATCGCCAGCCAGATTGAGGGAAATGACTCCTTGTTCAATATGATTTGATCATTGTTTATGTAGGTATACACCATTTAAATGAAGAAGAAATGGGCAGATCAGGAGTGACCGAGGCAGTTTGTTCACAGCTGGTCTCAGCTGCCGAGTATAACATAACTTCCACCCTAGGCCCTATGTAAACAAAACAATGGCTTTGGAGATAAGGAGAAGGTTGTGTCGTGTTTCTGATGCTGTTATGCCTTCAATACTTATATATTCTTATATCCTTGGTATGCCTGTGTGAGTATAGGTACCCTTTAATGGAAAGGAAATGCTTCTTATCCCTTTGTTGGTTGGCAAGTGCAGTCTATCGCTGTGGCTAGTGAACTAGTGGAGAATATTTGACAGAGCATAGTTTTTTACTAACCTCACTGCTGGTGACTGGGAATATGTATATAAACCTTACAGGTCTATAAAAGCCTAGCACAGACATCTGACGAATTGAAGGAATTTGGATTGGTGGTGAACAGGGTACAGAGTTTGGTAGTTTTGCTAACTCTTGTTTCCCTCTTGTTCACAGGTTGGTACTGACCTCTATGGAGGCCATGTCAACAATCATGCATTGAGAAGAATCCTCCGTGAACACCTCACTCTTGCCCATACTACAGTATTTGGGTCTACGGGAGGACAGATCATCTGTAAGGCTGCTTGATGATCATCACCAGCTCTTGTCCTCAACCCAGGAACTTTAACTGTGTATACTATCAACCACCACTACCAAGAGGGTAGAAGAATATACTGCAATGAACTTTACAGTGTAAAAGGGAACCTTCTCCCTTGTGTGAACTATTAACATCAAGAGTGTTGGCACGAGTAATCTACTGTCTATAATAAATTCTTCAAGATTGTCAGCACCAGTTATCTATTGACTATAATAAGTTCTTCAAGTGTCAAGAGCTCCAACCATCCTCACAGTCAACCTTAGGAAGATGCTGACCTTCTTAAAGAATAAGTAGTTGTACAGAGAGATTGCGGCCACCCATAATACTGAGTACCAGTCACCTTGGTCCAAAGTCTACTGAATTGTGCAGTGGTGATATTTGCTGTTACTACAGGCAAACCAGGAGTCAGTCTGTATTAGAATTTCTTCTTTCAATGGAGATATTGCTTTAGTCTTTCTGAATTCATTCCTTTGTGTCTTTACCTGCATTAGACTGATTACATTATGTACTGTTATTTGAATTCAGTGGTTAGTGTCCAATCTTTCACAGTTCTTTTAGATTAGATTGGCTGTGAATGTGGTGTTTTTAGGTCAGATTCATTACTGTTATATTTTGATTATAACAGGCTTGCTATCTAGTCTGGTGGCTTCTAAGTGGTGAGGAGGTCAGGCCAAGTTGTGCCCAGGTATAAGTATATTTATTATTGCAGTGGGAATCATAATTTGAATCACCTCATCACTTAAATGATGTTGAATGGTTTCTGGAAATATGGAGTACATTCTAGACCAATGCAAGCCACCATCTAACATTAAGTCACTTCAGAGTGTCTTTGATTACTAGGGGAAACCCTAATAAAGACATGTGACAGGCGTGTCATGTGACAACATGTTACAAATATTCCTGACACTGTAATGTAAGTATGAGAAAGAATTTTATTCGACAGGTGTGCAAATGAAAACTAAAAGCTGATGAAACATAAACCATTCATCATAAAACTTAATTCATAAGTTAACAGACCCAATGTCATTGCGCTGGGACTCCATAAAAGACTCAGCAGCTGAAGCTGACTTCTTTAGCAAACGTTTAATTAAGAATTTATCTCTTGTACATCACAAAATTACCCTCATGGCTTCATTCTGTATGCGTTCAAGTTTCATCAGCTGACACTTTGATGTGGTAAGCATTCTTGGTCCATAATCTACCACCAACAGGATCACATGCTGAAACACTGTGAACATTATTCTTTGTTCCATATCCATTGCTGCCATAAACCTAATGGCATTGAGTTCTTTTTGGCTTTTGTAACAACTGCCTCCACATGATCTCTGAAAGACAGGCTTCTATCGAAAATGATACCCAGGCACCTCAGTTTGCTTTCTTTTCTGATGTTTCCATCATTAATTATGAGACCTGGAACATCAGCTCTTACAATTTCATTATCCAAAGAGCATCATAAAACAGCTGCCTTTTCTGGGTTGATGACAGCACCCATTTCCAAACACCAATCAGTCATTCTGTCTATAGTCGCCTGTTGTTCTTGGGGTATCTGTTGCCTGTTGCTCCCCTGCCAATATGCAAGAACATCATCTGCAAATGTCAGTATCCTTCCAATCCCTGCTGCTTCAAGTTATGCAGTCCTGCTTGTATACACGTTGAAGGGCACTGGGAAAATTGCAAAACCCTGGGGTAATTCTGAGGCGATAGTGCATTCTTTTGAGATCCATGTACCCAAGCGGAGGGCAACTATACCTGAAAGCAGGACAGATGCTATCCTGTTCACCAGCCAGGAACACACCCCCTTCTTTATGAGCGTAATTATCAAAATATCATAACCGACTCTATTGCATGCATCCTCAAGATCAAGAATGGCCACAACAATCTCCTGTCTATTCCTGAACCCCTCATAAAATCAAAGGCAAATGTGGCCGCTTTTGACTAGGTATCTTTTCCGGGCTGTATATGCCCAGAACGCTTGGCAAGAGCTTTTTTCTTTTAGCCTGTAGTTTAACAGCAATAATCTTCTCAAGCACCTTGCCAAAAGTATTTTGAAGAGTGATAATCCTGAAATCAACAAGACTCCAATGATCTTTGCCTGGTTTTGGAATAGGTATTGAATAGCCATACACCAATTCCTGATGTATTGATGTTTTTCTGATGCTCTCGTTGAAGTAGAAGCCCATCTCCCTCAAGTCTTTATCACTAATGTCCTTTATGTGGGCATACCTGACTCAATCTCGCCCCGGTGCAGTGTCTTTTGCTTTCTGCAAAATATTTCTTACATCACCCACACTAATATTTCCATGGCCATGAGTCATAATGCAGTGGATACAGTCCTATTATGGAGTGCCTGGAAATAAGAAAGCTGATCAACTGGCAGGGAAAGGTACGACAAAAGTGCAGCCAATGTACCAGTCACATACCACTAGAAGAAAGGAATCATTAAATCGATCAGGAAACCACCATCCCCAGCACAAGACGACTATTTTATTATGGACAGACCAGAACAAGTCATTATCTTCCGCCTCAGAACAGGGCACAACCGATTACGTAACTACATGTACACAAAATTCAAGATAGGCGTATCAGCCATGTGCACCTGTGGACAGGTGCCCCAGACAGCAGAGCATGTACTCCAGGACTGCACTGAATTTGACACATTAAGGCAAACCTTTTGACCAGAAAGAACAACAGTGGAATGTAAACTCTATGGATCACTGAATGAACTAACACCAACAGTGAAATTTATACAAGAGACAAAATCGCTGATTTGGACAACTTATTTCAGGCAAACGAAAGAGAAGAAGAAGAAGACCCACGCTAATAATCGACTGATAGCAATTATCATTAATGGTATTCAACAGATTGTCCGTAACTGAATATCTATGTCCCCTATGATGATCAGTTTGGTCTATAAATCTCTGCAAAAATGCTTTCCCCTTATCTTTGTCTGTTGTCATGGGTATGCCCGTATCTGTGTATATAATGCCTGTTATGATAGGCCGATCCCTTATTTTTATGTGCCTGTGAAGTTTCCAGAACCTAACCAGCAATCTATCCCCTCTAATTTCATTTATACAATTTTCCCATTTAGTCATTTTTGCATGTGCTGCACACCACTTGAACTCTTCTATTTTTTCTTTTGAAATTTTTGTTGCCTTCTCTACCTACTCTTGCAACCACTGAGGTGACTTTTGCACTTACTGTAACTGTGTAACCTTGCTCTCTTCTCTTTCAATGCCTGTTCGGCTTCTTGGGACCACCATGGAGGCCGCACAAATGCAGAACAAGTGGTTCTCTTAAACACCTTCTGCCGAAGGCATCCAATAAGGGTATTGGCCCTCTCGTTCTTTAGCAAAACCATCTGTGAACATATGTGTCCAAATATGAGAGGGATATTAACTCCTGAGCGTAAACAGTAACAAAGCTCCTTGTTCTGACTCAGTTCTTTTATTTGAAGATTGTTCCTATGACTTCAAAATACTTGAAGTATGTATCAGTTCTTGCTGCAAGAAAATGTGGAGATAACTATACACCCTTAGAACACTAATACGTGCACTTTTATTGTGTGTTCTATTATCTGAAAGTTTCTTGCCAGGAAAACAGAGAAAATATGTAGGCACTCAACATATTCTAAACAACATACAGTGTGATGGCCACTTCAGTTCCTTGTCACTTTTCCTTCTCAACATGATTCATGACAATTCCCGCCCAGGTAATGTGATTATCTACACTGATGTGTCTGCTGAGAGGCAGATGAAGTGCACGGGGGTTCATAGCAAATCACACAGATGACCTTTAATGCAACAAAGTCTGGCATATGGTATCATAATAATCTAGTCTGAGAATGGAGGTTTTTGTTTGCTTGTTTTATCAGCTGCATACACAAGCTGTCATTGAAGCTGACTCGCAAAGCATGCTGAGAAAAGTGGAGACAGGTATGCCCCATGCAGAGTGGGAAGCATCACTTCAGAGGTCCACGGTACTTGGTATCTTTTTTTTCATAGTATGCTTGTCTGCTGGGAAACAAACAGGCAGACAGACTGATTGGTTCTGCGCCACTCAGAGTAAACTGACGCATGACAAGCGACATGTTATTGAAGTTAATGGTGTATTGAGAAGTAACCAGGGAATCTGGCAGGAAAACAGACTTAGAAGAAAAGCAAGAAGGACATATAATCAAACTGCTACTGGTACCATCTGTTTTGGAGCTGCTGCTGAAGATGGGGAGAGAGCCCTTAAAAGAATGTCCCGAGTGCTGCAATGTCAGTTCTTCAAACTAAACTCTCCAGAAAATGTTCAGTATCATTTTATGAGACTAGGTTGACCAGAGAGCCTTATATCACAAAAATAAAGCAAAAAACTACTCACATCATAAGATCCATGAGAAAAATTCAAGCGTGCAATGTTCATTCCCTCAATGATCATCTTCTGCAATATTTCAACGTCTTTGCAAGCAGGTCCTAAAAACAGCATGCATATTTTAAAACAAAGTAAAATATTGAAATCAAAATTATAAACTACACCTATTTTTATTCTTTTTAGTGACTAAAGGGCAACAGTTGACACAATAAAATAGAGTGTGGAAAAGTAATAAAGAATAGCAAATGACCACACTATCTGAAATGATTAACTAATTATATATCAAAAGGGTTAAACAGAATAATTATCAAAGAACAAACTAAATCAATCTAAAGATTGGTGATAATTCAGATATTCTATCATGTAATAAGGTAATCCCAGTTCCAGCTTCATAGCAAATGGGTCCCCCATAGCTGCTAACTAACAGAAGTGTCAGTTTTGAGGTTTCTTTGGGTTGGGGGGGGGGGGGGGGGGGGGGGGGGGGGGGGGTTTACAAGGTGAACACAAGATTTAACAACAATAGAAATAGTTAGGATAAGTCTGAAACATGATAAACATTTTTCTTATAATAGTCTCTCTTTCTCATTCACACACATGCAATCACACCCAAACCCACCCACACACACGCAAATGGTAACTGAAATCAAGAAAAGAATCACAAAAACACACCCTATTCCACAGCATGCCACCCCCCATATTTTTATGGTGTTACCTGGTGTGTAAAGCATCAGTTCCTTATAAGTATTTGGGTACCCTGATAACAACATATGAAAGATGTACTAAAACTGTTAAACTAAGAATCAACCAAGCAAAGGCAACATTTAACAAAATGAAGAATATTTTATGCAATCTTTCTTTGTCAACTGAGGTGAGAAAGAAAATTCTCAAGAGCTATATAAATTCAATCCGGATATACAGATGCGAATTATGCACAGTAAGCCAATTAGTTAAAAATTGTGTGGAAACAGCGGAAATGTGGTTTTCACAGACGAATGATAAGAACAGACTAGAGGAAGAAAGTACTGAAGATGTCTTGAAAGAAACTGAAGAGAACTGACTGCCCATAACAGAAAGAAACAATCTACATTCTTTAGTCATGTGATGAGAAAAAAACCCAGATTACTTCATGATCGTGAAAAATCTGGAAAGGAAAAAAGGCAGAATGAGACCAACTGAAAAGATGATAAACAGTCTGACATCATGGCATGGAAGAACTGTGTCAGAAATGACTGAATGTAAATAAGACAGAAGGTTGTGTATAGTTATGACGGCATTGACTATAAGAAGAAGAAGAAGAAGAAGAAAGAATTACTGTCACTGCACATGCAAATTTTCACAAGTGCTGTCAATATAGCGTACGAACTCCACAGAACTGGCGAGGGATAAAATGTATCTTAGACTTTAAAAATTGCATATACTTCACATGATGGCTCACAAACCTAGCAACTTAGAAGCAGTATGCACTGAGTGGAAACAGCTTGATAAAACAATTTTTCTTTTTAGCCCAGAAAAATTCTCTTGGCAGGCACAGCAAAGGTTTAAACATAAGAACTGGTAATCTCCACCCCCAGCTGTCTACATTTAATGTCAACTGACAAGATTAAATTTTTTTTCTTTATAGATGAGAATTTGTATCAGTTCTATGGAAGAAATTATTCTGAGAAGGAATTTTACAAGTTGATCGTAGATCACAAGTGCATATTTCAGTAGCAAAAGACCCCTATTTAAAAAAACATCAGGGGCCGATCCATTTAGGTGTAACTGTTATTACATGATGAGAATGGGAAATGTAAAACATACAGGGTTATAAGCAGTAAGGAAAGATGTAATATCCCCTGATTGTGAGTGCACATTTACTGTCTAAATTGGTGACTGGTTTTGACAATTTCTGTGTTGAATTTATGATCAGATGAAATATTGTCCTGCTTTTAATGTCAAAAGAAAAATACAATGCCACCCAATTTTCACTGCTGTGTCTCAACATATATTAAAATAGAACTCTGGTTTGCCGAGGTACGATGAAGTACTTCAAATGTTAGCTATATTTAATGAAATTTTTATCCCTGTCACTAACGATCCTGGATGAAGAACTAGGGGTTGTCAAAAATGAAGGTGGACAGAGGATGTTGGAGAAACTTTGGGGATGAAAGTAGATAATATTGGACATGTCATGTAGGGAAAATATTAAAGACATTCGATATACCTGATAAGTAAGTCAAAAATTCAAATCAACAAATAAATACTTTTAAAAAAAAACTAACCAATGGTACAGATTATGCCAGTCATCCTCACTTGTGCGGGTTCTGAGTCAATATTAAGTACACACATGTGTTCCAGGCGGGAGTCTGCATTAGCTGCTTGAAGTTGTTGACTCTGTAGGTAATAATCTCCTTTGTGTTCATGATCCTTCAGACTGAACTATTTTAAAAACATGGCAAAAACTGTTAACATAATTAACATCTCCAGGATTCATCAGCTCTGGTACAGACAGGATAATAAAACATTTGATTGAAAAGAGCCGACCTTATCATATTCATTTTAAGAACTAACAATATTTGGTTACTTTCATGTGACACTCCTTTACTGAAAATAGTCCTTCTTATCATGTATGCATTAAATGACATTTTGATGTGCTGTAGATATGTTTTATTACTCTTTAGATGTATGAGTACTTCTGTTAATTAATCAAAGTGAAAAAAAAAAATACCAACTGTGAACTACAGTAAAATATTTTATTAAATAACTAGATAACGTTTACTTCCTGGGACTGCACCCGGTACCCACTCAAGGCTGGGTCGACCTGGGAGCCAAGGTCAGTTGTTGACATAAGGTACTGATATTTTTTATCAATCTGATTTATTAATTGATTATTCGATCAAATGTTTGATGCATATGTTATTTGCTTACTAACACTCTTTTCACCTTTTTCTGAGTCTTGTCTAGTGGTCTATAATTTCAGCAACTATCATAGGTGATAATCTGTGAACTTCTGGTAAGCGGCACTACAAGTCTAAATGAGATATAGCAGCATTTAATTCATTGTTGAGCAAGACTATCTTAGACTTTGTCGCTCATGAGGCAGGTCTGACTGGGACTGAGCTACATAAATATGTCTCTGATTTGTTGACTGTCAAATCTCAAATAGAAGTTGATATATGTGTCCGAGGCAGGGATGCTGGCCAGATAGTTTCATGGAGAAGTTGCACTTAATCTTTATCCCTACTTCATGTTATCAATGCCAAACATGGACTATAAACAGGGCACCAGAACAAAAAATAACTACATGTGAAATGCACTGTCTCTGCAAGGTCTCTAACAACACAAGAAGACACAGGGTTACGAATACCAGCATTAGAGAGAAGGTTGGATTAGAAGGAAGGTGAGAGGAAGACCACGAAATAGATGGATAAATAGTGTAGCAGAAACCTACAAAAAGATGAACAAATCCTTCCGCTAAGCCACATAAGAAGCGCAAAACAAATACAGAAAACCACAACACTGGGTTACAATCTGGTATCAGTGAGACAACAATAGAAGAAGTGGCGTGGCAGTTGGAGGTCTGTGTTATGTTACATTAGATTGGGTAAACTGATTCATGTATGTGCCTCAGATGTGTATTGTAATTGTTATATGCATCTGTTAGTGTATGGCTCTATGAGTTTAGTGAAAAATCATTTCACAATGAAATCCTCATCTTCAACATTTGCCTGGGTGCCATTCCCCTATTGCATGTTTTGGGAGAAGATAGTTTTTGTGTGCCTTTTTGAGTTTGACAATTCAGTCATACTTTACAGATCTTGGTGCAAAATGGTGTCATCAATAGTTGTTGAAGTTTGTAATACATTATCTTAACCTTCTTTACTGATATATTCTTTGAATATTCAAAGCATTGGTTCCTAAACGTTTTACATCTATCACCTCCTTTTTAATTTAAATTTTTTTAAATCACCTAAGAAATATCATCATCGTTATAATCATGTGTGATCATTACATGCTCTACTGATGGGGATAGGAAGTCATCATTTACAATCTTACAATCATTGATCTGGTCAGTGCATATCCAGCTACATTTATGTGGTGAAGTATCAAGATTTTAATGTCTACCTTTACTCTGCCCCTTTTCCATCAATTTCTCCATTTGTCATCAAATTCCTAAGTTTACTTGTTTTCTTAAAATATACCTTTTATAATCAAACAAGCAGGCAGATGCAGTGTTAAATTTGAATTTTTTCATGTCCTATCTTTCTCCCTTTATTGTACACCATAGTCATCTCAGTGGGTGAACATTGTGGTTCTCGGTACAACTGGAATACATTTTCCCAGGTCGATTTCTTCTGATAAGAATGGTTTGCTTCATAGAAAATAAATAAGAAGGAAAATATTAAAGTTACTTTTTCAGTGATCGTTTGCTATGCATCAGTTCTAGCAAGGGTCATAACAGGACAGTGCGCATGAGCCCTACAGTTAATCTTGGAGGGTCACTCATTGGCCAGATTTCTTCTCTGTGACTGAAATAGTCAGGGAAATCTTTAACTCATGCTCTTGAATTTATTTTAGTTCATCATGTTAGCAAGCGTCAGAGACCCGCATGGTAGAAGTGTGCTCTGAGTTTTCTGTATCTCTATTAATTAGTATTTCCTATTTTTCTCTCCAGTTCAACTTCATAGATGTTTTAAGAGTGTCTTTGGTCTTTTAACACTTTCTTCCAAGAAGCTGCAAAAGGTGACATTTTAGACTGGGTCAAGTCCCTTTTCTTATCTGGCCAAGATGGCGGCGTAAACAACGTTCGCCGAAAATTGTGACTATATTCACACATGTGCAGTGATTGAGGGTCAGAATATAAACAGTTACCAAACACAGCATTTAAGAGGTATTTAAAACCAAGCTGATGTCATCAATTACCTCTGGTCTCAGTGATAGAGGTCATAGCATGAGTCAACTTGTGGATTATGTCTCATGGAATTTATGCTTCACTCTGTGTTTACTCCCCCACCCCCCTCCCCTTCCCAAAAAAAAAATAATAATATAATGTAGATAATTATGTTTCTTAAATTTATTATTGACCTGTTTCAAACTGTTATTTGTTAAACTTTTTTTGGGGGTGGGGGGGGGGGGGGGAATTCCTACTTGGTCAGTGCTCAGTTTTCTTAAGCACTCCTGGTCAAAAAGGCTAAATTTCTGAGACAAGCAGGGCTGCAGCCTTTACAAGCTCATTTGCCTTTGCATTTCCTTTTGCACATGTAACTGCAGGGCTAGTTTTGGTCTTATTAAAACATACTGAGTTAGGAGCTATGGTAGAAGAACAAGTGCTCCAGCCTCAGCTACAACAGCAACGACATAATTCCAGTTCTGATGGTACTATTGCTACTCTGCATGGAGCATACCTGTCTCCATCTTTCTCAACATGCAGTGAGTCAGTCACAATTAGGACATGTGTGTGCAGCTGGTTTTCAAGCCAGCAGAAGCCTGCAAAGTTATGATTATTATTGTTATAATAAATGTTGTTTTGTGTTGTTGTTGCTGTTACTATTTCAAAAATGAAGCTGTCATGTACAGAGCATAATGTCACTTGGAGGGCTTATGTAGAATGTGAATATGCTAGTTTTTATTAATTTCTTATTGACAATTAGGAGTCTGCACAACGAAAGGAGGGTTGATGCACCTGGTTCGCCTCTATCGAGTGTGACTCTGCATTGCCATTAGGATATATAATACGGATTTTGGTGCCTCGCTTGTAACTTCTTTAGCAAAACAATATGTGAATATATTTGTTCAAATATGAGAGGGATTTGATACTTGAGCATAGGAAGTGACAGAGCCTTTGCTCTAACTCAGTTGGTTCTTTCTTGGAGATTATTTCAGGAACTTCCAGAAATGTACTGGATATGTCTGGACAGCTCGTCATGGTTCTGGTGTGAGAGCTCTACAAATCAAGTCAGTTTCTACATTTGCATGTTGTCTCTATGTTTTTCTTGTTAAATGCATTGGACTTTCCTTAACAGTCTAGTTCTGTCTTGAAATGTATGGTGCAGCAGATGGTTTGGAAGCATTCTGAGCTTTTAAAAGTTTGGTCCTGTCTACAAAGTTAAAGGTACTACACGTCAGCAATTTTCTCAATTTCTTTTATGGGGATACATCTGTCTGAAGTTGGTTTATTTTCTTACATTAATGGGAATTTTTATTTATGTGAGGAGAGAGAAAGACCGCTGATGCAGGTGTTGTTTGCTTGAGTGTTAGACCCAATAATTTGTCGATTTCTCTATTTTCTCAACTGACTTTCAAAGTAATTGTGTCTTTTTTCTTTAAAATAATCTTTTCCTTTCTACTACTTTGGCTCAACATTGCCTTATTTTTATTGAATGCAATTTTAACTATTTATTTAATGTAAATTTAACTGCACTTGAAATTCTACAGCTCCTCGGGCCTGTCAAATCTGATCAATGTAGCTACTGCAACAGTTGACCAGCCCAGCACCTCTGCAAGGGTTGGCAACACCCACCTTGGGAAACAATGGCTAAAACAGCTGCATTTTTAGACTGACTTACCCCTGTTTTAGGAAACTGGCTTGGAAGTATTGGCATATTTCCAGCTGATCCTGGCTTTGCCAGCATCTGTGCCATCTTGGAAGAGATAAATAAAATTTATTACCACAGCACAAAATTCTCAAACTTTTCTCTCCCTTGTTATTATACATCTATTTTAAGCTGCATTTAAATTAAAAGAGAGAAGAAAAGCAAAATAAATGTGGAAGAAATGAGCCTTAGTTTAACAAGACTGAACAGACTGGATGAGAATGACAGGATTTTGATTTAACAAAAAAAAGGCCAAATAGGCAACAGTGTTCTTTGCAAGTACAGTCTTTGCAATTGAATCAAATCTCACAAAATGCCCGAACCAAGCTAGTTTGCAACATTTCACCACTGTCAAGAGAGGGTTCCAGATGTCCTGCAAATCTATTTATTTTGTCTCCGACACATCTGTTAGTTTTATGTCTTAAAAAACTAATTCATAAAATGTATCTATAGCATTTACATTCGAAAGCCTGAATCCTCCTTTCCATTTCCACAGTGAGAGCCCAATTCTCACACCAGTATAGACAAGAGCCTAATTCTCACATCAGTATAGACAAGATATTTAAAGGTTTCAACTTCTAGCTTTTTTCTTTTATATGTATGTTGGTAGGTACTTGGCTATTTAAAAGAATCCTGCTTTTCTTGGCATTAGTTTCCACACCATATTTACCACATACAGTTTCTAATGCTTTAATAAGTTCTTGGAGTTATGATTCAGAAACAGCCATGTGATCAACGTCGTCTGCAAAATGTAAATAACATAGCTGTCTTCCGCCAATAGATGTTTCATGATTTTCTAGTGTTTGGCTCATAATGTGTTCCAAACACAAAACTGAAAAGGAAGGG